ACAGCCTGGCTCATCTGCTACCAGCCATCACAGCCTGGCTCATCTGCTACCAGCCATCACAGCCTGGCTCATCTGCTGCATCAAAGCCTGGATCACCTGCTACCAGCCATCACAGCCTGACTCATCTGCTGCCAGCCATAACAGCCTGGCTCATCTGCTACTAGCCATTACAGCCTGGCTCATCTGCTGCCAGCCATAACAGCCTGGCTCATCTGCTACTAGCCATTACAGCCTGGCTCATCTTCTACCAGCCATCACAGCCTGGCTCATCTGCTATCAGCCATCACAGTCTTGACTCATCTTCTACCAGCCATCACAGCCTGGCTCATCTGCTATCAGCCATCACAGCCTGGCTCATCTTCTACCAGCCATCACAGCCTGACTCATCTGCTATCAGCCATCACAGCCTGACTCATCTTCTACCAGCCATCACAGCCTGGCTCATCTGCTATCAGCCATAACAGCCTGACTCATCTTCTACCAGCCATCACAGCCTGGCTCATCTGCTACCAGCCATTACAGCCTGGCTCATCTGCTACCAGCCATCACAGCCTGGCTCATCTGCCATCAGCCATCACAGCCTGGCTCATCTGCTATCAGCCATCACAGCCTGGCTCATCTGCCATCAGCCATCACAGCCTGGCTCATCTGCCATCAGCCATCACAGCCTGACTCATCTTCTACCAGCCATCACAGCCTGGCTCATCTGCTACCAGCCATTACAGCCTGGCTCATCTGCTATCAGCCATCACAGCCTGGCTCATCTGCTACCAGCCATTACAGCCTGGCTCATCTGCTATCAGCCATCACAGCCTGGCTCATCTGCTACCAGCCATCACAGCCTGGCTCATCTGCTACCAGCCATTACAGCCTGGCTCATCTGCCATCAGCCATCACAGCTTGGCTCATCTGCTACAACAAATCACAGCCTGGCTCATCTGCTATCAGCCATCACAGTCTTGACTCATCTTCTACCAGCCATCACAGCCTGGCTCATCTGCTACCAGAAATCACAGCTTGGCTCATCTTCTACACACACGCTCTATCTGCACAGAATACACTTGGCTCATCTGCTACCAGAAATCACAGCTTGGCTCATCTGCTACCAGCCATCACAGGAAGGACGGATGGAAGGAAGGAAGGAAGGACGGATGGAAGGAAGGAAGGAAGGAAGGAAGGAAGGAAGGAAGGAAGGAAGGAAGGAAGGAAGGAAGGAAGGAAGGAAGGAAGGAAGGAAGGAAGGAAGGATGGAAGGAAGGAAGGAAGGAAGGAAGGAAGGAAGGAAGGAAGGAAGGAAGAGGAAGGAAGGATGGAAGGAAGGAAGGAAGGAAGGAAGGAAGGAAGGAAGGAAGGATGGAAGGAAGGAAGGACGGATGGAAGAAGGAAGGAAGGAAGGAAGGAAGGAAGGAAGGATGGAAGGAAGGAAGGAAGGAAAGGAAGGAAGGAAGGACGGATGGAAGGAAGGAAGGAAGGAGAAGGAAGGACGGATGGAAGGAAGGAAGGAAGGAAGGAAGGAAGGATGGAAGGAAGGAAGGAAGGAAGGAAGGACGGATGGAAGGAAGGAAGGAAGGAAGGAAGGAAGGAAGGATGGAAGGAAGGAAGGAAGGAAGTATTAGAGTTAAAAACAGCAGATATAACCAGGATACCTCAGGGATATGTTTAAAAGACAATATACAAAATAAAGTTGCTAGTAATGGCAAATCAATTAATTGATCAACAAACAAAGAGAGATAGTGGAGGACAACGAGTGACTAGCTCCCTAAAGGTTTACTATACAAATAGTAGGAGTCTAAGAAATAAGATAGATGAGCTAAGATTACTTGCAAGTGTAGGTAATATAGATATTATTGGTATAACAGAGACCTGGTTCAACCTGAAAGATAGAGAAATGCCTTCTGAATGCAACATACAGGGTTATAAACTATTCCACACTGACAGGGTTATAAACTATTCCACACTGTTAGGGTCAACAGGAAGGGTGGTGGAGTGGCGATGTATGTCAGAGAAAATTTATATTGTTGTGTTAGACATGATATAAGATTAGAAACATTGAGCACAGAATCTGTTTGGCTACAGTTTCTCGAGGGACATGACAAATTAATTTTGGATGTGATTTATAGGCCCCCAAACATTGATAGGGAGTGCAGTAAGCTGTTATGGGACGAAATTCATAAGGCATCTAGATATGAAAATGTTGTGATAATGGGAGATTTTAACTTTAGACAAATTGATTGGAACAATATGACGGGAAATCTTGAGTCTAGTGACTTTCTTGATACGGTTCAGGATTGCTTTTTAGAACAGGTTGTGACAGAACCAACTAGAGGAAACAATCTGCTTGACTTGGTTCTTGCCAACAAAGATTCACTAATTAATAATCTTGAGGTTAATGATGAGCTTGGGGAAAGTGATCACAAATTACTTAGTTTTAATATATCATGGAATTACCCAGATAACTGCAATCAAATCTCTGTCCCAGATTTTCCCTTGGCCGACTTCATGGGACTGAAAAATTACTTGGGTGGGCTAAATTGGGATGTCCTGACTATGGGTCAGGTAGGTGATCTTGGTTGCCAATATGACGTTTATCGGAGCATAGTTCTAGCTGCCCAGACAACTTTTGTTCCGAGTAGGGAAATTAGATCTAACAAAAATGATCCCAAATGGATGAACAATAGATTAAAACATCTCATTGGTCAAAAGAGAGGCATAAATAGGCGTATCAAAAGAGGGGATGGGCAGTTAAGAAATCAATATATTCAATTAAAGAGAGAAATAAAGAACGGAATAAGAAAAGCAAAAAGGGATTATGAGGCTAAGGTCGCAAGGGATTCAAAGATTAACCCTAAAGGATTCTTTCAGGTATACAGAAGTAAGATTAGAGACAAGATTGGCCCACTTAAGAGTAACTCTGGTCAGATCACTGACAGTGATAAGGATATGTGTGAAATTCTAAATACCTACTTCCTCTCAGTTTTCACCCAGAAAAATACTAGCGATATTCCTGAAATAATAGATTATGTAGAACAGGACGATAATAAACTATGCACGATTGCGGTAACTAGTGACATGGTCCTCAGACAAATAGAGAAACTAAAACCTAACAAATCCCCAGGCCCTGATGAACTGTTTGCAAGGGTATTAAAGGAATGTAAAGAGGAACTTAGCATACCTTTGGCTAATCTTTCTAACATATCACTACAAACTGGCATAGTGCCTGATAAGTGGAAAATGACAAATGTAATACCTATTTACAAGGCAGGTGACAGGTCCTTGGCTTCGAACTATAGACCAATAAGCCTTACCTCCATAGTGGGAAAATTTATGGAATCAGTAATTGCCGAAGCAATTCGTAGCCATCCTGACAGGCACAGATTGATTAATGAATCTCAACACGGTTTTACAAAGGGGCGTTCCTGTCTTACGAATTTACTAACTTTTTTCACCAAGGTGTTTGAGGAGGTAGATCATGGTAATGAATATGATATTGTGTATATGGGCTTCAGTAAGGCTTTCGATAGAGTTCCACACCAGGGGCTGTTGAGGAAACTTAGGGCACACGGAATAAGAGGAGAAATTTTTTCCTGGGTAGAGGCATGGCTGACAAATAGACACCAGAGAGTTTGCATAAATGGGGAGAAATCAGAATGGGGGCATGTCACAAGCAGTGTTCCTCAAGGGTCAGTATTGGGCCCGTTGTTGTTCACAATTTACATAAACGACATAGATGAGGGAATAAATTGCGACATAAGCAAATTTGCTGATGACACCAAAATAGGCCGTCCAATTAATTTTAATGAAGACACTAGAGCACTCCAGGATGATTTGAATAGACTGATGCAATGGTCGGAGAAGTGGCAGATGCAGTTTAATATTGACAAATGCAAAGTTCTAAATGTTGGACAGTTAAATAATCATGCCACATATAAACTAAATAATGTAGATCTTAATACTACTGATTGCGAAAAGGATTTAGGAGTTCTGGTTAGCAGTAATCTAAAACCAAGACAACAGTGCATTAGTGTTTGCAACAAAGCTAACAAATTCTTGGCTTCATATCTAGAAGTATAAATAATAGAAGTCCTCAGGTTGTTCTTCAACTCTATATATCCTTGGTTAGGCCTCAATTAGACTATGCTGCTCAGTTCTGGTCACCGAATTACAGAATGGATATAAATGCTCTGGAAAACGTACAAAGGAGGATGACAAAGATGATCCCATGTATCAGAAATCTTCCCTATGAGGATAGACTGAAGGCCCTGAATCTGCACTCTCTCGAAAGGCGTAGAATTAGGGGGGATATGATCGAGGTGTATAAATGGAAAAAAGGAATAAATAAAGAGGATGTAAATAGCGTGCTGAAAATTTCCAGCCAAGACAGGACTCGCAGCAATGGTTTCAAGTTGGAAAAATTCAGATTCAGAAAGGATATAGGAAAGCGCTGGTTTGGTAATAGAGTTGTGGATGAGTGGAACAAACTCCCGAGGCTAAAACGTTGTGTAGTTTTAAAAATAGGTTAGATAAATACATGAGTGGGTGTGGGTGGGTGTGAGTTGGACCTGACTAGCTTGTGCTGGTAGGTCTGGTACAGTGCTCCATCCTTGAGTGGGGATGACCAGACTGGGTGGGTCATTGGGATAATCCGGGGGGTGGTCATTGGTCTAATCCGGGGGTGGGGGACATGGACCTGCTCCGCATGGGTCAGTAGGCCTGTTGCAGTGTTCCTTCTTTCTTATGTTCTTAAGGATGGAAGGAAGGAAGGATGGAAGGAAGGAAGGAAGGAAGGATGGAAGGAAGGATGGAAGGAAGGAAGGAAGGAAGGAAGGAAGGAAGGAAGGAAGGAGGGAAGGGGGGAAATGAGAGGAGGCGGGAGCAAAAATAACCCCGTGACGATGAAAGTAAAAAAAAAAAATCTTTGTGGGAGAAACAACAGAATGGAAGAGAAAACATGAAGAAGGCAGTATAGCTAAACTCACTCTCTCTCTCTCTCTCTCTCTCACCTTTCTTGACCAAGGGTGCAGCATACGATGTGTTGATTTCCATTACGTGTGACGTCGAGATTTTATCTGTGGAAAAACAAAAACAAATTAATTACTTAGTCAATTAATGTGTGTGTGTGTGTGTGTGTGTGTGTGTGTGTGTGTGTGTGTGTGTGTGTGTGTGTGTGTGTGTGTGTGTGTGTGTGTGGGTGCGTGTGTGTGTGTGTGTGTGTGTGTGTACTCACCTAGTTGTACTCACCTAGTTGAGGTTGCGGGGGTCGAGTCCAAGCTCCTGGCCCCGCCTCTTCACTGATCGCTACTAGGTCACTCTCCCTGAGCCGTGAGCTTTATCATACCTCTGCTTAAAGCTGTGTATGGATCCTGCCTCCACTACATCGCTTCCCAAACTATTCCACTTACTGACTACTCTGTGGCTGAAGAAATACTTCCTAACATCCCTGTGATTCATCTGTCTCTTCAGCTTCCACTGTGTCCCTTGTTACTGTGTCCAATCTCTGGAACATCCTGTCTTTGTCCACCTTGTCAATTCCTCTCAGTATTTTGTATGTCGTTATCATGTCCCCCCTATCTCTCCTGTGTGTGTGTGTGTGTGTGTGTGTGTGTGTGTGTGTGTGTGTGTGGTGTGTGTGTGTGTGTGTGTGTGTGTGTGTGTGTGTGTGTGTGTGTATGTTTGTGATGTGTGTGTGTGTATTCACCTAATTGTGGTTGCAGAGGTCGAGACTCAGCTCCTGGCCCCGCCTCTTCACCGAGTGCTACTTGATCCTCTCTCTCCCTGCTCCACGAGCTTTATCATACCTCATCTTAAAGCTATGTATGGTTTCTGCTTCCACTACCTCACTTGCTAAGCTATTCCACTTCCTGACTACTCTACGATTGAAGAAATAGTTCCTAACATCCATTTGACTCATCTGGGTCTTTAACTTCCAATTTTGACCCCTTGAACATCCTGTCTCTGTCCACCTTGTCTATTACACGCAGTATTTTGTATATCGTTATCATGTCTCCCCTAACCCTCCTGTCATCCAGTGTCGTCAGTCCGATTTCCCTTAACCTTTCTTCATGGAACTAACCTTGTCGTAAACCTTTGTACTTTCTCTAATTTCTTGACGTGCTTGATCAAGTCAAGTGTGGATTCCAAACAGGTGCTGCATATTCCAGTATGGGCCTGACGTACACGGTGTAGTGTCTTGAACGATTCCTTACTAAGGTATCGGAACGCTGTTCTCAGGTTTGCCAGGCATCCATATGCTGCAGCAGTTATCTGGCCGATGAGTGCTTCCAGAGACGAGTTCAGTGTTATACTCACCCCAAGATCTTTCTCCTTGAGCGAGGTTTGCAGTGTTTGGCGACCTAGCCTATACTCCGTCTGTGGTCTTCTGTGCCCTTCCCCGATCTTCATTTGGCGGGGATAAATTCGAGAAACCAGTTGCAGGACCAGGTGTCCAGTCTGTCCAGGTCTCTTTGAAGTCCTGCCTGATCTTCATCTGACTTAATTCTCCTCATTAATTTCACATCATTTGTGAACAGGGACACTTCTGAGTCTAACCCTTCCATCATGTCATTCTTATATACCAAAAATAGCACTGGTCCTAGGATCGACCCCTGTGGGACCCCTCTCATCACAGGTGCCCACTGTGATACCTCATCACGTACCATGACTCGTTGTTGCCTCTCTGTCAGGTTTTCTTTGATCCATCGCAGTGCTCTTCCTGTTACATGCGCCTGATCCTCTGCACTAATCTCTTGTGAGGAACTGTGTCGAAAGCCTTCTTGCAGTCCAAGAAGATGCAATCAACCCACCCCTCTCTCTCGTGTCTTACTTCTGTTACTTTATCATAAAACTCCAGAAGGTTTGTGACACAGGATTTACCTTCTATAAATCTGTACTGGTTGGCATTTATACTCTTGTTCCGTTCCAGGTGCTCCACCATTCTCCTCCTGATAATCTTCTCCATGACTGCATACTATACACGTCAGTGACACTGGTCTGTAGTTTAAGCCTCTTTTCTGTCTCCTTTTTTAAAAATGAGAACTACATTTGCCGTCTTCCATACCTCAGGTAGTTGCCCAGTTTCAAGGGATGTGTTGAAGATTGTGATTAATGGGACACACAGCATTTCTGCTCCCTCTCTAAAAACCCATGGGGAGATGTTGTCCAGTCCCATTGCCTTTGAGGTATCAAGGTCACTTAGCAGCTTCGTCACCTCCTCCTCATTTATGTGTATGTCATCCAGCACTTGTTGGTGTCTTCCCAGAGTCCTTCCTGCCTCCATTGTGAATACTTCCTTAAATCTCTTGTTGAGCTCCTCTTATACCTCTTGATGGTTTCGTGTGAGTTCCCCACCTTCTTTCCTCAGCCTGATCACCTGGTCTTTGACTGTTGTCTTTCTCCTAATGTGGCTATACAGCAGTTTCGGGTCAGACTTGACTTTTGATGCTATGTCGTTTTCATACTGTCGCTGGGCCTCCCTCCTAATCTGTGTATATTCGTTTCTGGCTCTTTGACTGATCTCTTTATTTTCCTGGATCCTTTTGCCTTCTGTACCTCTTCCACTCTCTAATACACTTAGTTTTTGCCTCCCTACACCTTCGGGTAAACCAACGACTCACTTTGATCTTCCCATTAATTCTGTTGCCCTTTGGAACAAACCTTTCCTCTGCCTCCTTGCATTTTGTTGTTACATATTCCATCATTTCGTTTACTGACTTTCCTACCAGTTCTCTGTCCCACTGAACCTCCCGCAGGAGGTTCCTCCTCCTACCTGTGTAGTCCCCCCCTTTTATAGTTTGGCTTTTCCCAATTGACTCCTGTTACCCTCTCCACTTGCAGCTCTACTATGTAATCAAAATTCAGAACCATGTGATTGCTAGCTCCAAGGGGCCTCTCATATGTGATGTCCTCAATGTCTGAACTGCTCTGGGTGAACACAAGGTCCAGTCTTGCTGGCTCATCCTCCCCTCTCTCTCTGGTAGTGTCCCTGACGTGTTGATGCATGAGATTTTCCAGTACCACATGCATCATCTTGGCTCTCCAAGTGTCAGGACCCCTGTGAGGCTCCAGGTTTTCCCAGTCAATCTCCCTATGGTTGAAATCACCCATAACCAGTAACTTTGCTCTGCACGATTGAGTTCTTCGTGCCACCTCAGCCAATGTGTCCACGATCGCTCTGTTGTTCTCTTCATATTTCTCTCTTGGCCTCCTGCAGTTCTGTGGTGGGTTATACATCACTGCAATGACTATCTTATGCTCCTCAGACTGAATTGTAGCTACTATGTAGTCCCTTTCTCCAATCTCGCCCATGCCTTCCATTTCCTTAAATCCCCATCGGTTTTTTATGAGTAGTGCAACCCCTCCTCCCCCTCTGCTCCTTCTGTCTTTCCTCAGGTCTGATATCCCGGTGGGAAGACTGCATCTGTTATTGTCTCAGTGAGTTTCTTTTCTGTGACTGCTATGATGTCTGGGGACCTCTCATTGACTCTTTCATGCCATTCCTCGTATTTATTTGTTAATCCATCTGCACTCGTGTGCCAAACCTTCAACTTCTTATCTATCATGGTGGTCCTGGGAAAATATTGGGGTTGGGGGAGCGGGAGCCCTGGAGGGGGCATATGGGGGTTTATAGTGTGGGTGGGGTTTTTGATGGGGGATGTGGGGAGAGGGAACAGTGTGTGAGTTTTGGCTTAGATTGTTCAGTTGCATTGGGGTTGTCGCAATTTCGGTGGGGTTTGTGATGGGGGGTGGGGGCAGAGGACCCATAGAGGGCTGCTGTAGGGGTGGGGTTTGTGATGTGGGGGTGGGGGAAGAGGGAACAGAGTGTGGGTTTTGGTTTAGATTGGTCAGTTGCTTTAGGGTTGTCATGGTTGGAGTCCTTCTGCGGGTGTTTTTGTAAGGTGTGTTTGCCCTTCTACCTGAGTCTGGGTTCTGCTCATCTTCATCAATGCATCTCGTTCCTCCTTTCATCTTTGCACCCTCTCTCTCAGTATCATCCTTTCTTCTTGTGTTCTGTCGTGATCGAGATACACATTCCAGTACTCTGGTTTGTCCCTCAGTCGTGCTTTCTCCTGCATGATCCTGGTTCAAGCTGATTCTGCCTTGAAGATTACTTTGACCGGCCGTTTCCTTCCACTCGCAAACCACCCAATTCTCTGAAAATTTGTCACCTGGGTCATGTCTCCCTCATCTATTGCTTTCATGATACCTTCGATCGCTTTCTTCTCCTCCTCATTTCTTTAATCGTAGGTTTTCCCTTCGACTTCTCGGAGCCCGTAGACAAACACTGACCTCTCCCTCTCCTCCTCCCACTGTGTCTCCCTTTGTATCCACTGAGGTGTTCTAGTTCCTTCCATCGAAACGTTCCTGCCTTCATTCCCTGCCCTTGCTGCAGCCCCTATGCTCAGTGGACTGTCTTTCCTGCTCACCTGTTCCTTGCCACTGCTGTTGTCTGTTGGATTATCTGCATGTGTCATAGCTCCTTCATTGTCTACAGGTCTCTCAATTGTGCACATCTTTTCCTGGATCCCTACAGTCCCCTTGTCTTTGACTGGTATAGATGTTCCTGATGTCATGTCTGTATTGTCATTTGTCTCGAATCTGTTTCAGGTTTCTTAGTTCCTCATCTAAGCACTTTATCTTATCTTCTGTTGCTAAGACTTGTAGTCCCCACTTCCTGCTCTCCTCAGCTATCCTCTCCTCCATTTTCTTGCCAAGTTCTGCTAGCCTCCTTCCTCACTCTTCCTCCATTTTTCTGAGCTCTACCTCTGAATCTTTCCTCCCAGGTTCTTCTCTCCCAGGTTCGTTCACCAGACCCCTGGGTCTCAGCCCTCTTTGGTGTGTGTGTGTGTGTGTGTGTGTGTGTGTGTGTGTGTGTGTGTGGTGTGTGTGTGTGTGTGTCGTGTGTGTGTGTGTGTGTGTGTGTGTGTGTGTGTGTGTGTGTGTGTGTGTGTGTGTGGTGTGTGTGTGTGTCATGTCTCTTGTGAGGTACTCTATCGAAGGCTTTACTAAAATCCAAATAAACAATATCAAATTCATTATCACTGTCAACTGCCTCAAATGTTCTATTGAAGAACGTCAGTAAGTTTGACAGGCAGGAACGACCTCTCGTGAATCCATGCTGAGATTC